ATTAGTTTTATTGGTATCATTCCTCCTCCTCCTACTCCTCTTCCTCTTCCTCCTCCTGCTCCTCCTCCTCCTCCTCCTCCTCCTCCTCATGCTCCTCTTCCTCCTCCTCCTCCTCTTCTTCCTCCTCCTCCTCCTCCTCCTGCCCACCCCATCCTTCGACCCTGCTAGAGAAGACCCCCTGCCGGAGCGAAAGTGCGCACTCGGCGCGCCCTGCGGGGCCGCCCCCCCCCGCTCAGCGGGCGGCGGCACAGGCTCGAGAACTCCGCCACGACATGGCCGTCCATCGGGGTGCGCGCGGTCGAGCGCCCGCGGGCCAGGCAAGCCCGGAGGATCCCCGGCCCCGGCCGCTGCCACGGCGGTGGTGCAGTGCGTCCGTAGCGCTCGAGGATGGTTCGGGGAATGCTCTCGAGGGTGCTCGAGGGTGTCGGAGGAGGGGAATGTTCGAGGATGCTGGGGAGGACGGCTGACGATGGGGGAAAGGGACAGGGAGAAAGAGAGGAGAGAGAGAGAGAGAGAGATAGAGACAAACAGAAAGATGATAGACATCAGAAAAAATCGAAGCGGGAAGCGGCAAGCAACCCTGCCGCGGGACAGTCCCCCGCCTTCTTTCCCGACCGAGAGGAAGTCGCAGGGGTGAAGCAAGTGCGAGGTTCGAGGAGGGGGTCCTCGCCCTTTTCCGCGTGTGGGGGCCTGTTTCGGCAATCGTCTGTGGGGACGCCAAACTTGAGGGGCCCACCATTTCGGCAAGAAACTTGAATTAACGTTTCTGCTGGTATGTCTTGCAATCGTCTGTTCTTCCCTCCCTCCCTCCGTCCATCCGTTCCTCCTCGTCCTCCTCCTCGTCCTGCTCTTCGTCCTCGTCGTCCTCGTCCTCGTCGTCCTCCTCATCATCCTCCTCATCCTCCTCCGCCTTCTCCTCCTCGTCCTCCTCCTGTTTCCTGCCCCATGGTGGCATGAGTGTTTCACGTCCTATTGTTGACGTTAAGCAAACATGAGGCGGGGCCTGTTGCGTTATGCAATGATGTCAAGAATAGACACAAAAAACAAAAACAACAACAACGACGACAACAACAACAACAACAACAACAACAACAACGACAACGACAACAACAAAAAAACTAAAACAAAAACAAAAAACTACGCTACACAACCAGCAACCGCGGACGGGCGCAGGAACGGCAATTCAAAGAGTGAAGGCAAAGGACAGTGACCCTCAAGGGCGAAAATAAGACAGTCGGCGGCGACAGGTGAGGTGAGAAACCCGACAACCAAAAACCAACAACTCATGCTAGATACACCTCCCAAGAAAACCTGGGGAATATAGAGAACGGGTTAGCTACGAGGGCACAGTGGGCGGCGCCGCGTGCGGGCATTGTGTACGATGCCGCTGAGCCCCCTCCCCCCCAAACCTCAGTCCCCATACCCGACCCCGCCCTCCAATCAAGGATGGCAGCGAAGATAGAGCGAAACGAAGCAGGCGGCGCATGCGAGAGGGCAAGAGGAATAGTGGATGTGACGCCGGAGGTAAACAGGTGGGCAAGTCTGTCAATACTACATGAGTTCGTTGGTGTCGTGGTCCGCAGGGGGACTCGCCATGGGGATTCGTCCCATCCCGACGTGCCAACACGGCCACGAACATAGACATCAGTCCCACAGAAGTGAGTGATGCATAGCAAAAAGAGGCTGGCACATACGTGGGGGCAGGCCTAAGTACTGGCGGTTCTAAGGGCTGGTACAAGCGCGGTGAACGCCCTAGGGTGGCTGGCTGTGTCATTTTTTGCGAGGCTGGCACAGACAGTACTGGATGGCCTTCGGTCTGAGCGCTGCAATTCCTACTTCTCCTCCTCATCCAGTCTCCTCGGTAAACATCCCGCCGCCTCTCACAGCTACCGGGATAGCAAGCGCAGGCAGAATAAAATGTTGGATAACTTACAAAAATGTCATGGTGAGAAGAAGAAAACAAGCGGCGCATGCGCCATACGGTTGCGGTGTCTCTGGACTGGCGCGCTCGGGGCTGGCTGGCCAAGACAAAGCGGGGAAGCGCAGATCAGACGGTGCATGGCCGAATGAAACGACGGGCATCGCGCGACGCGGACCCCCAAGACGTGCAATAGGCAAATCGGCCAGGAGAGGCGCGCACAGGAGGAAGAAGGGGAGCTGAGAGTGAAGAACGATGAGTGGTGCACGGCATGAACTTGGCAGTGGCCTCCGCGAGGGTCGCGCCGGGGCGCAGCTCCTCCTCCTCCACAGCTGCAGCAACGCCCGGGCGCCCGCCCCCCAGATCCACCTACCTTCATAGGCTGGCGCGTTGAGGCGAGATGCAATGTAGCACAAAAAAATACTAGAGCGGACGACGACGCTGGAGATAAACGATTAGGAAAATCTGTAGATGCTAAACGACGTTGTTGGTGACGGTTGTCCACCGGGGGGCTCGGCCTGGGGGCTCGACCCCATACCGACGAGCCAAAATGGCCTTGAACATAGACATTAGCGTCACAGGGGTGAGTGAGGCATTGCAAAAAGAGGCTGCCACTTACGTGGTGGCAGGCCTAATCACTGGTACGAGCGCGGTGAACGCCCTACGAGTAGGGCAGCTGGAGATGTACGTTTGTCAGGCTCTTACAGACAACGCTGGCAGGTCTGGATGACCCAGCTTTCAACTGCGATAAGTGAGCACCGGGAACAGCAAAGCGCGAAAATAATGACTTTCATACTGCTGCGTGCCGATCCTTAAAAAACTACGGGGCCACGCCCCGGAGCCTCGGAAGTCTGAAAGACCGCAGGAGACCGCATCTCCACATAAACCTCCACGGCCGCCCCCCCACCCCGAATACCTTCCCCTACAGTCCAAGAGGTCAAGTAGAGGGCGCGCATGCTTAGGATACGCGCGGTAAGTCTTGAAACTTGAAAATACGTAATGGGCACGTATGGCAAAATGGCCACTCGAAGTCTGGAAGCACAATTAGACTGGGCAGGCGGACTGACTGGCTTTTGGTAGGAGTGACAATGCGCCTGAGACACGCTAGGTACAGCCCTCGAGAATGCGATGCTCACCTCGGCGCGTTGCAGACGGGCTTGAAGTACGGGGCTGAGCTATGGCGCGAGCGCGGGCTGAACGGCGGCAACGGGAAAAAGAGAAACAAGCGTGGACGACCCTTCCGCAAGCAGCAACGACCCAAGGATGAGTCAGAAGCGACGATAGGGGCGAATAGTCCAGGGGAGAGCAATACATGTTATTCCGGTGCGCCGATGATCTGTGTCTTCGAAAAGGCTCCCGGGCGAATGCGTGCAGTGCCCGCCCCTGGGCTACTCGCCCCCATCGTCGCCGCCGACCGAGGAGGAGGGAGCACGCGCAGCGCCGAGCCGAAGCCACGGCGAGGCGCGCGCGCGCCCACCGTGCCCCGCACGCGGGCACCTCGGCCCCGCATGCCCCCCGCGCCCCCGGCGAGGAGCCTCACCCGAGGGGGGGGAGGAGAGAGGCCAAAGGCCCAGCGGAGCGGGAAAGGCAGGGGAGGGGGAGTCTATAGGGGAACGAAAAGTCACAGAAACACCAAAACTCGGACGTACGCGCGGATTTCTCGGATCGGCGCTGGGGCCCCCCGGCGGCGCCTCCGGCGCCGCCCCTGGCGCGCTCCGCGCGCCAAAGAGGGGGATCCGGCGCCGATCCGAGAAATCCGCGCGGAGATCCGAGTTCTTATGTTTATGTGACTTTTTGTTCCCCTAGGGAGGGGAGGGCCGAAAGACAGCGGGAAGGGCACAGTGAAAGCACACAGATATTGCGCGCGAGCGGGAGGCAGGTAGGCGAGCGGTCGGCACAAAACGCGCGGCGAAAGGTGCGAACGGCAAGGGGCGCGAGAAGCTCGCGCAGAAATGAGACTGGCGCACACAAGCAAGGAGCGCGGAGGAAAGCAAGCAGAGCCAACAGCTGCAGGGGCGCAAGCCAACGGAGACAAACACTGCGCCCAAGCAAACTGCATGAGGAGAGGGGAGGCCGACCAGCAATCCCTGTACTGGCGGAACCTGATGTTCGGGAGGTAGCTGATGTGGAAGTTATGGGGTCGTAGACTAGCCCCAGTAATCTACACCATCTGCACAGTTGGTAGGAATCTTCGCCTTAAGTGCAGGTGCAGGTGGAGCCTTGTGTTCTGGCGTAGGGAACTTAGGCTAGGGCATAGTCGATTTCGCGGCATTGCTGTGATTCCCTTATCAGTGCATCGTGTCTTCCACCTGCTTAAAGATGGTGGTAAGACCGTTCCACGTAGGTTCAAATTGCGCCCGAGTGCGGTAGGAATCGCCGGTCGCTGCTGTCCTCAACACACACTGTTTCGATGCACCCAGCGCATCAGGGCACGGGCGTAGAGACAGTCTGCCCATATTGCATGACGGGTGGTGCCTTTGGCTAGAAATAGACTTGCATAGCAGCACAAGTATGCGGCACTCGCTCTGATGGCGGTATGTCGGTAGTTATTGCTGCGCAGCTGCTGCTGCGGGTGGTGAGCACATCACTGCGATCTCAAGGCGCGGCAGCGGTGGGCGCATCGGACTTCGCATCTCTCTGTTGCTGGCGGCGCGCTGCCCAAATTGTCGATGATGTCTGCTGGTTGCTGGACGGGCGTAGCTGAGACTGTCGGTCGAGTCATTAGGACGTCTTGTGGTTGGATGGCGGCATGGAGCCTGACTGGATGCTGCCGTCGTAAAAGCTAGACGTGGATGAGGGAAGACAGCAATACATGGACACTGTGGCTATGCAGGACATGTCGTTCTGACTGCAAATGCTCTGTAGAAGTCATGCTGCGTCGAGTGTCATGGCTGCCCAGTCATATTTCATGTCGTTGTCGTCGTCGCGGCAAGAGTGGGGCCATTGCGTCGCTGCGACTATGGCTCGGGTGGCTGAGTTGTTCAGTCTTGCCGTGGGCGCGCGTAACTCGGCGTGAAAGTATCTGTTGGATGCTGTGAAAAGTCCTGGACCGTTAGGCCTAACAGTCGTCGCGGCGCTTCGTTTAGTCGTGGACGCGCTGGCGGAAGGTGCGCGCCCGCGCGGTAGGCGCCATTGAGCACTGGGGACGCGGTGAGCTCTGCAGGTCGTTGCTGGAAGAAGGATAGCGACGCGGCATTCCGTCTGGCTTCTGCGGCGGCCGCGGCAGCACGCACGGGTGGAAGCTGCCGGTGGAGTACTCGCGACTGAACTTGTCAAGGCACGTGTGCCAAACGCCCGGGGAGCGGCAAGTGCAAGAGTTGCCACTCTCCATGCAGTAGACCGCGTAGCGCCGCTTCTCCTTGCCACTGGCGTCGTCGCCGTCTTCGCCCCTACCCCTGCACGCTGCCCACCCGGCTGCGCAATGCATGCAGTGACCTTGGCCGGGAGGGACTGATTTCAGCGTGAATGGATTGGGGATGCATCTGTAATCATCGCCGCTGCACTCCTGGTCGCTGTCGTCCTCGTCTGTGCGCGGCACAGTAGTGTATTGCGTCGCACGAGCTGCTGCTGGGTAGTCTCATAATCGTTGTGGTGGTTTCTTTGTCTTGGTTCTTGGATCAACAGAGGCGGCACGAATTGCCATTTTCGGTTTGGGGGTGGAGTCAGTTGGCGGGCTGCTGGAGCCAGTGGTCGGTCGCAACTGCCTCCTGGCGGTCACGGTCTGAAGTCGATGTAATGTATGGACTGATGTGGAGTTGGCGGCAAAGTATGCCCTGTGCATTCCTCGCGTAGCCTGTCCTGGAAGTCGCGCTCTGTCTGCTCAGGATGTCATCGTTCTTCGAGTTGCTGCTGCATCCAGTCGTAGCACCTGTGACCTCGATGGATGTTGGTCGAAATGCCTCCTCTCGTGAAAATAAACGACAAATGCCTTGCTCTTAGGGAGTGGCATCAGCATCGCTGGCGTCGCCTGCATTGCACGGCCAGAGTGAATCACTGGTCTCATGCGGTGCCGTTGATAGATGTGCTCGACTGACGTTAGTGAGAGCTCCCCGATCACGGGTGGACATCTGGGGTTGGCAGGCGCAGGTGCCAAGCTCGTAGTGGGTTGGTGGTAGTGTGGGTTGGCGTAGTGACGTCGACTCTCTCACAGTACCAGCCCACTCATCAAGCACGTCGGTGATGTAGCGCGGTATTCCCTTCAGTTCTACGTAACATGGTTGCTCATACGATGCTGGCAGGGTGATGCGTTTGTGGGTCCTCTCAATGATTGGTGTGGCCCATGGCGGGTGTTGTGCTGCAGCGCCAGATGTGTGGAGTACGTCAACCAATAGGTTGGTAAGGGATAGTAGCTCCGAACCAGTCGAGATGTTGTTGTCGCCGGTGGTCATGGAGCAAACAAACACGTAGTTTTCCGTGGCATTGAAGTTTGCGTATGCTGGTGTTCTCGTGTAGTGAGAACTGGTATCGCTTGGTGTACTGCTGGTTGTGAATGCGGTAAACGGTCTCCTTGGGGTCCTTTTTGCTGTGCCGTCGTGACTATAATGTCGGCATGTTTATCGTATTTTGCCGTTGCCGATGTCGTCGGAAAGCTTTGCTCACGTTAGCTAAAGCATGCGCTGGTGGCGTAGCTCGTGTTTGTCTGCGTCGCCGACTAGGACGTGCAGCCCATATCGCCTGCATTGTGCCATGCGGTAGAATGGTACGTCGTATGGGGGCTGGAACCACATGGCTACGTATGCTTGTGTGCCAGCTCGTTTGCTTCCATTTGGTGAGAGCGGTGGTGAGTAGCTGGAAATAGTTGTGGCTCGTGTCGGGAAGCATGCTAACGTATTGTGGCCATGGTCCACCGCGTAGGCCCGCCCAACATTCGTCGGCACTGGTATGCACTCGTGTCCAAGTTGTAGAGAGATTTTGACGAACGTGTTGCCTTCGCTTGGCGCTGGTAAGTTCCTTTGTTTGTGTCGTGGAATGTGCTCTGAGTGTTGTAGTGTGTGTATGTGTGTTGTAGCTGCCTCTGGGTCGTGGTCCGCGTCCTCCTCCTCCTCCTCCTCCTCCTCCTCCTCCTCCTCCTCCTCCTCCACCGTGGGCGCGCAGGGAAGGGAGGGGAGAGGGAGGGGGGGTCGAGAGGAGGGGTGCGCGAAGGAGGCGAGGCCGGGCGGGCGGGAGCGGGCGCGGAGGGAGGGAGGGGGACAGGGGAGGGCGGGGAGGGGCGTCCCGAGGCAGCGAAGAACAGAGAGGAGCGACAGAGGGGCGTCCAGAGGGGCGTCCAGAGGGGCGTCCAGAGGGGCGTCCAGAGGGGCGTCCAGAGGGGCGTCCAGAGGGGCGTCCAGAGGCAGCGAAAGGGAGGACGGGGAGGGGCGTCCAGAGGGGCGTCCGGAGGCAGCGAAAGGGAGCGACAGAGGCGGAGGCGTAGAGAAGAAGCACGAGATTCCGTGGGACAAAACCGGTCGAACAAGGCCCAGGCAGACCCGCGGACAGCCGGACAGCCCATGCTTATGAACGACGACAGGACGACCTGCCCCAGACAGCCCCCTGGACAACCCAGCGGGGATCCAGACAACCGCCCCTGGACAACCCCTCTTGATATGTAAAGATATGCATAAGTCCCACCAGCCCTCTGGGGCGTGAGTGGTTTAGGGAGTTTCCTCGTCAATGGTCCTTATTCCCTTTCGGTGAGCCACCTCCCCCTGCACCTGGAGGGGAGGGGGGTGGAACGTCCAAGGACTCGGCGAGGAAGCCAACATCAGTGTATGTACTGAGGTGTCTGCCAGATGTTGGCCTACTGGGGGGGAGAGGGAGCCATAATCCAGTACGGCCCGTCCTTTCATCGATCTACCCCTGGATAGATGGCCCCAAGATGACCCCCAAGGTTCGCAAGGGTGCCCCGATTCACCCAGAGGGCCCCAAGAGGTGCCCAGGAGGCCCCCACGAGGCCCCCACGAGGCCCCCGAGATACCCCCAAGAGGCTCCCAAGAGACCCCCAAGAGGCCCCAAGAGGCACCCCAGGGGCACCGAAAACGCCTCAAGAGGCCTCGGCGAGAAGGCCACAATCACCCATGGTACAACAAAAAGTCTTGGCCACATATTGGCCTGCTGAGTGGCGACCCTAAGAGAGGAGTCTTCTCCGTTGATCAAAATCCTCCGAGATGGCCCCAAGATGGCCATCGAGGCTCCCAAGTGTCCCAAGACGGCCCCAAGAGATGCCCAGGAGGGCCCAAGAGGTCCCCGAGAGGCCACCAAGTGGCTCCCCAAGAGGCCCCTCCTGAGGCACCCAAGACGCCCAAAGAGGCCTCGGCGAGACGGCAAAAACCAATTGATTATAAAAAAGTGTGACCATATGTCGGCATCCTGGGGGAGGGGCCTAAGTGACCCCCCCTTTCTTTGATCGAGCTCTTCCAAGATGGCTCCAAGATGAGCCCCGACGTTCCCAAGGGTGCCCCAAGACGGGCCCAAGAGGTGCCCAGGCGGTCCCAAGAGGCCCCCAAGAGGCTCCCAAGAGACCCCCAAGAGGCTCCCAAGAGGCCACCTGAGAAACCAAATACGCCCCAAGAGGCCCCCATAACTGCCACGAGACCCCCAAGACGCCTCAAGGACTCCAAGAGGCTCTCGAAAGAAACCCGGAGAGACTCTAAGAGGCATCCAAGAGGCCTCTGTCCTCTCTGCTCGCCCTCCTCCTCCTCCTCCTCCTCCTCCTCCTCCTCCTCCTCCTCCTCCTCATCTCCTCCTCCTCCTCCTCCTCCTCCTCCTCCTCCTCCTCCTCCTCCTCCCTCCTCCTCCTCCTCTCCTCCTCCTCCTCCTCCCCCTCCTCCTCCTCCTCCCTCCTCCCTCACTCCTCCTCCTCCTCCTCTCCTCTCCTCCCTCCTCCTCCTCCTCCTCATCCTCATCCTCATCCTCATCCTCATCCTCATCCTCCTCAGCCTTCTCCTCCTCCTCGTCCTCCTCCTCATCCTCCGACTCCGTCTCCGACTCCATGCTCCCCCGTTTGGGGTACGACGTCTTACCCAGCCCTCTAATACACGGCATTATCCTCCACATCCCTGATCAGGGCAACTCGTCTGTTGTTGAAAATATACATATATATATATATATGTATATGTATGTATGTATATATACTGTGCATGGAGACAGATACATCAATGAATACAAGTATATGTATGTGTTATTCCCCAACAGCGTTTACACTGAAGGGATCGTAGCGGACATAAAAGAAATTGGCCAAAGTAGCCAGCCAACTTCGGTGGGTGGCTTTCGGTGGGCGGCTTTTGGTGGGCGCTCCCTCAAGAGATTGGCGAAAGTAGCCGGCAACTTTGGTTGGCGGTTCTCGGTGGGTGGCTGTCGGTGGGCGCCATCTCTCTCCTTTTCTATCTCTGTTGCTGATGCTGATGCTGATACGTTTTCCAAGCCGTTGTGGGGACGTGTTGTGGCCCTCTTGAGTCGTCGAAAGGCCCTCGCAGGCCGTCGAGGGTACTTCCTGAGGCCCGCCTGGGTCATCTTGGGCCCCTCGTGCGCCGCTCTGGGGCAATCTTGGAGACCTCCAAGGCCATTCTGAGTCGACGGATGCCGTACATATACATACATACATACATACATACATACATACATACATACATACATACATACATACATACATACATACGTACGTACGTACGTACGTACATACATACATACATACATAGATGCATACATATTTCCGTACATACATACATACATACATACATACATACATACATACATACATACATACATACGTACATACATACATACATACATACATACATGCATACATGCCTACCTACCTACCTACCTACCTACCTACCTACATACATACATACATACATACATACATATGTGTGTGCATACATACATACATAGTTATATGCATACGTACGTACGTACATACATCTATACATACAAACATACACACATACGTACATACATACATACATGCATGCATGCATACATACATGCATGCATACATGCATATGCACATACATATACACGTATATACATACCTACATACATACATACATGCATGCATGCATGCATGCATACATACGTACATATATACATACATACATCCATACATACATACAGACAGACAGACAGACAGACAGACAGACATACATACATACATACATGGATGCATGCATACATGCATACATACATACATGCATACATACATGCATACAGACATACATATATGCATGCATGCATACATTCATACATATGTATATGCATACATACATACAATCATACATACATGCATGCATACATACGTACATACATACAAACATACATTCATACATGGATACATGCATTCGTGCATACATGTATCCATGCATGCATGCATACATGCATATGAATGTATATACCATACAAAGACATATGTATGTAA